CCCTCCAGCTCTAGCTAGCCTGGAACCCACAAGTGTTGGAATTAAAACTGTGTTCCACCATACCCAGCATCTTTCTGAGGGTGACAGCCCTTGGGACAGGATATTCCTTCCTTTGAAGAAACTGCATATTGGGGAAAGAGGACTCACAATAGACAAGACACTTGATCCAGATGCACTTCACCTGGCAGGAAATGGCATCTCTCTCCTCGGATCAAATGCAGGCGTAAGGGCTGGCTAGGTGTCTCAGCAGGTAAAGAAGCTTGCCACAAAGACCTATAGACTTGAGTCTGACCTCAATGACCTCATGGTAGAGAGAACCAACTCCTAAAAAGTTGTCCTTGTTGTCCTTTGACCTCCATATGTGCCCCACACAGATGAATAAATAGACCTATTTTTTTTTAGATCTATTGTTTATTTTTGTTGCTTTTTTTTTTCCATTGTTATTTTTTGTCCTGAGACAGGGTTTCTCTATGTAACCCTGGCTGTCCTGGAACTCACTCTGTAGACCAGGCTGGCCTTGACCACACAGAGATCCGCTTGCCTCTGCCTTCTGAGTGCTGAGATTGAAGACATGTGCCACCACCACCTTGCTGTTTCTTTAAGCATCACAAGATCATATCCTGTGTCCTTGTGGACTAGTAACCAGGTCAAGCTAAGAAGAGTTGACAAGGAATCCGAAAGGAAGAAAAGAACCTGTACAATGGGAAATCCAGGAGGAGGGCTGCCTAGGAAGACCCAAGAGTCTCTGAAGAACTTGCATGTTGGCACCAGGTTCTAAAGGAGGGCCACACTGGTAGGGATTAATCTGCTCCTTCGGCTCCCTCGCTCGCTCGGGGATTCTGGGTGGCCAAGTGTAGGGCTGATAAGTGCCTGGCTTGGAGGAAGTACAGATGGCAGTCTGGCCGGCATCAAGCTGGCTCTCTTTGGGCGTCGGGTACCTTCTGCTCCCAAAAGGCAGTGCTTAGGACAAGCCTTTGCATGCTCAATGGACAATTCTGCTTCCTCTTTATCCAGGGAGCATGAATAAGACAGCAGCAGTTCTGATTTATTTTCGACAGATTAGGGTTCCGTGAAGATGGGCGGGGCCTCACTGAGGAAAGAAGAATGAATTAGCCATTCTGAGATGTCAGACCACTTGAACATGCCCAACTTCCTGCATGCAAGCCAAGCTGGTATCACCTCCTGAGCTCATTTCAAGGCTAGCCAAGTCCCCCACCCCCAGGATTGGACTGGGGCTGCTCGCTAACGCCAACATGGAGCAGCCTCTGCCCTTCTCACCTCACAGCTGCTGACGGTAAGGGCGAGCACTCTGTAACTGTCTGTCTCTAGACCCTCCCTCACAGAAGGATACTTACTAGGCACCTCAGCCCTCAGAGGCCACAGCTTGCACATCCTGCAGGATGGACCCACGCTAACTAGAACAATGAAGCTGCCCTGTTGTAGAGAGTGACAGACAGCCTTAGCGCAAGCGCTCTCACTATGGGATAGTCATAACTACATGGCTTGTGACCTCCACCGTATCTCTGAGACCTGTACAAGAGGACACCTGCTTAATCTGGTGGGCCTGAACTCTCTTCAGAATCCTATGGCCTTGATAGCTCTCCTAATAAATCTCTTACTCAAAAAGGCAGTCTGCCTCACTCTCCCTCTTGAACCCCCAAATCTGAGACCTTTATAGTCTGTCCTACTTACTCTGCTTTAACAGTCAACTTGACACAGCCGAGAGTCACTCCAGAAAGGCGTCTCAATTTAGGGGTTTCCTGAATCAGATTGGCCTTTGAACATGTTTGTGGAGAGTCGTCTGAATCGATACATGAAGGTCAGCCACCTGTGGGTGGCACCATTCCTTAGGCATCTGATAGGCTGTGTAAGAAAGCTAGTCAAAGGGCTAAAGAAATAGCTTAGCAGCTAAGAGCACCAACTGCTCTTCCCAAAGGACTCTGGTTCAGTTTCTAGCATCTACATTATGGCTGTATTGTAGAACCAGAGCTAGAGATGGTGTGAGCTCCCATGTGGGTGCTGGGAATTGAATCTGAGTCCTCTACAGGATCAACCAGTGCTCTTAACCACTGAGCCATCTCTCCAGCCCAATAAGTAATTTTGAAAAAAGAAAAGAAAAGAGCGCTAGTCAACAAGGAGTCAGTGAGCAAGCTAGGAAGCAGCATTTCTTCTGTTTTGACGTTCCTGCCTGAGTTTGATGTTCCTGACTGAGTTCCCATCCTTCCCTCAGTGATGAACTATGACCTGGAAGTAGAAGTCAAATAAGCTCATTCTCCCCTGAGCTAAGTGCAGCCAGAGTGTTTTATCACAATAGAGTGAGAACAGAACTCGCTCCACACCTGGCCTGGAATTCACATGTAGATCAGGCCGGTCTCAAACTTAAAGGATCCCCCTGCCTCAGGTCCCTAGTCTCAAAGCCCATCAGGAAATGTGGCGTCACCCCACCAAAGTCCCATCCTGTTTTCCCATCCAAGTTACCTGTACGTTGAAACAAGGGCACATGCTCTCAGAGCCAAGCCCACAGACATCAGGTGGCCGCTGGCTGGAGCTGTCATTGGTTGGTAGAGCACTTGCTTAACGTTCAAGAAGCACAGTGGTGCATAAACAGGGCATGGCGGTGCACTTCTGTAACCCTGGAACTCAGAAGGTGGAGGCAGAAGGATAAGGAATTGAGGTCATCCTGAACCTTGTGAGAATCTCTCTCAAGAAAGAGAGAAAAGAAAAGCCCGTACTTAAATCATAACCCCACTTCAGTCTGAGAGAAGTGACATATAAGGAAATTACTGAGTTGCACGGTAACTTAATCTGGTGGGCCTGAACTCTCTTCAGAATCCTATGGCCTTGATAGCTCTCCTAATAAATCTCTTACTCAAAAAGGCAGTCTGCCTCACTCTCCCTCTTGAACCCCAAAGGTTCTGCATGCCTTTAATCCCAGCTGCGTGCCTTTAATCCCAGCACTCAGCAGGCAGAGACTGGTGGATCCCTGTGAGTTCAAGGCCAGCCTGGTCTAGAGAATAGTTCTAGGACAGCCAGGGCTACCCAGAGAAACCCTGTCAAAAAAAAAAAAAAATCAAACAAACCAACCAAACAAACAACAAAAAAGGAAGCCATTTGAATGCCCCTCGGGGTCCAGCTCAGCCCAGGGCACAAGAGAAGCCTTCTCCTCTGCATCCATGTCCTGTGAGTAGAATGTAGCTAAGAGGAGTCTGATGGGAAAAGACCAACAGGTGGGTAGGGAGGAAACAAAGGAAGGAAGGAAGAAAGTCCAGGATGGAGGGAAGGGGGAGAAAAAGAAGATGGAGGGAGTGGAGAGGGCTGCCATGCAGAGTCATAGACTTAGAGGTTCTGTCATGGCGCAGGGTGTGGATCCATACGCGAGCTCACACCTTCCTTCCTCAGGCTTGGGTGCATGTGTGCTGATGGTGACAGCTGTGTCCCCTGCCCACCTTGAGGACATCCTCCCAGGTGTGGTGACAAAGGGGACTTTGTTCTCCAGCCAGTCACAGAAGCCACTGAAGTCTGACCCTCAACTCCTGTTTTCAGAGCTGCTTTGTCCCACGTGACCTAGTGTGTCAACAGTGACACCAGGAGCTTCCCAGTGTGTCAGAGGTGGGCACACTCGTGGGACACAGCCGGTTCAGGCGGAGACCCTAGTCTGGGACTTTTCCCCCCTTCACGCTCCCTGAACCCAGCAGAGCCCCTGTGGGACCACCAGCCCTCATCTATGTCCACTCAGAATCTTCACTCAGCAGAGAGAACCTAAGACCTGAAATCAGTGCGCTCACACCCAGCACACACTCAGTGACATCGACAGTTCATCCGGGTACAAGGGATGTCAGCATCTGCGGGCCTCCCAGCCTCCGGACTCATCTCTCCTGGCTCAAAGCTCCTGCTACCCCTGAAGCAGGGCCACCTGCTTCCTATGTCAGGCTCTCTATGTGCGGTCCCCAGAGCCTAGAAAGCCAAGCCCGGCTATTCTTCCCAGCTCTGAGCTCAGAAAGGCGTCTCTTCGGGAAGTCATCCTTGATGCCCCACCCCTCCAGCTCACACCTATTTCTCTGCTGTGAATCTGATTTCCAGCTCAGCTCTGAGAGTGTTGGTTCTATGAGCCAGCAGCCTAGAGCAGTCAGGCACACATCTGGTTCCCGCACCTTCGTGAATGAATAAATGAATGAATTCATGAATGAATCATAGATGGGGACCTAGCCTGCCTTTTTCTAAATCCTAAACAAGAATGGGCTACATTTACAACAGGCACCCCAACATTTCGCAAATCTGCGCGTGACCTTTGGGAAAACGCAAGGGAGGTGAAATTTAATCTCTGAAGGGTTGAAAGCCTTACCCTGGAATTTTTAAAAATAAATTTGGGTGTTTTGGTTAAAAAAGCATGACAGAGAATAAGAGCCCAACATCTGTTCCCAACCAGATCAGTTTCCTCCCATCTCCTTAAAAACTGACAAGTCAGTAAATCGGATGTCATGACTCACACGGAGAGAGAGGACAATTGAACAAGGGAGAAAGAAAACCAGAGGAGGGGAGAAAGACAGACAGAGACAGAGGGGAGAAGGAGGAAGGGGAGGAGGAAGGGGAGGGGGAGGATGAGTGACAGAGCTGGGAAGAGATAAGAGAGAGGAAGAAGAGAGTCAGGAAAGAGAGAGGGATAGAGAGAAAAAGGAGGGGGAGGAGACAGAGATACAGAGAGAAACAAAAGAATGAGACAAGAGATGGAAAGGGAGATGTGGGACAGAGACAGAGAGAAAAGAACCAAAGAGACAGACACACGATGAAGAGAGAAAGGGACAAAGACGTAAGACAGAGAGACAACAGTGTGCTCAGACCCTCCGCCTGGCAAGCAGCTGGCCCTGAAGTCTGCACCATGCCCATGGGTACAAGCTGAAGTGGCATCTCACAGCAGCCAAGTCTCTGGGTTCCTGGTCTTGAAAATCTACACACCACTACAGTGCCCGTCTCTGCCTGGGGATTTGTGGGATACTGTCATGCCCCAGTGGGAGGGGATTGCCCAGAGACAAGCTGATGACTGCCCCAACTATTGTCGGGCTCTAACTTTATAAACAAAAGCACCACAACATGTGGCTCATGCCAGTTGCCTTCTACAACTCACAGAGTATCACATGGCTGTGACACTCCCTAACCTACCCTGCAACTGCATGGGAAAGCGCTCAGCATACCCAGCAGAGAAGGGCTCTGTGCCTGTCAGCCCCACAACCAGCATTTGCTCAAGGCCTGGTCCTCTGGAAGGTTCTAAACTCTGCCTGTGAATGACTCAGGTCATTCACTATTTCACTCACTCAGATGTTTGGAGGGTGACCCAACACAGTCTAGGACTATTTGCTGCCATCATCCTTGGTTAAGGAGGCTTCGGGGCCACAGCAGGTGACCAGCTGACTCTAAATCCCATGGTGCAGGACTCCGCTCAGGAAGTCCATCATCCCTGCTGTGTATGGAATGCCTGGTCTGGTGACCCCAACTGCAAGCAGTTGGGTGCCCTTGAGCCTCCCTTGTCTGGTTTCATTCATCCAGTCATTCATTCATTCATTCATTCATTCACATGTTTCAAGGCTCAGCTTGGCCAGGCCTTCCCCACAGAATTGATAAACTGGCATGGAAAATGCCAGAAGAGTATTAAGATGTACAGACGAGGTCTGCGTGCATAGTTAGTGGATGGACGAGTGTGAAGACAGACAAACAAGGTCTATATACGTAGTTAGTGATGGAGGAGCGTGAAGACAGACAGACAAGGTCTGTATACATAGTTAGTGACGGAGGAGTGTGAAGACAGACAGACGAGGTCCGTGTAGGTGCAGGTAGTGGATAGCAAAGCACGAGAGCAGAAACTCAGCAGGGCAGCGTTGAGAGAGCCATGCAGGCGAAAAGACATCTCTGAGCCAGTGATATTAGGGGAGGCCCAGGAGTTCGGGGTTAGCCAGGGGCTTTGCAGAGGGGGGAAAGGGAATGGGGGGGTAGGCTTTGACCCTGTAGGGGCCCAGGTCCCAGGCTCAGTGTGTCCAATAGGTACCAGACAAGAAGAAAGGACACTGTTTCCTGTTCGTCAAGGATACTTGAGGTGTGTGGAGGCGTGGGACTGAGAGTCACAAGGATAGGGCCAATTGATGTCCTTCTAGACATCACCATGTCTGTGACCTCTCTGACCACCCAGGTTCCTGCTGATGTGACTGTCTGCATCACATTGACCTCTTTTAAGGTGGACAAGTGGCCCCAAGGTGACAGAGAGCTCTCCTTCCTCAGATCCTTTCAGTAGAGTGGTCACAAGATCCCTCATCCAGACCAGGCAGTGGTGACACACACCTTTAATCCCAGCAACCACACTAGTTTGCCATAGAAACCGCGAGGTAGTGGTGCACGCCTTTAATCCCAGCCCTAGAGAGGATTATAAAATGGGAGGAGACAGATCTCTGACAAAGTCCCATTCTGAGATTCATGGAGGCAGGATCGCCATTTTGAACTGAGGTAGAGGTGAGAGTCAGTGGCTGCTGTTTTGCTTTTCTGACCTTCAGGTTAAACCCCATTTCTGTCTCTGGATTTTTATTAATCATGCTACACCCAAACTCCCAAACCAGCACTCTGTCTTCTCTACCCTGCTCTTTGTTCTCCTCTTGTTCCTACTTTGTAGCCTCAGGCCTGAGATGAGCCAAAAAGAAGAAGAAGAAGAAGAAGAAGAAGAAGAAGAAGAAGAAGAAGAAGGGAAACAGAAGAAAGATTTATGTGAGTTCAAGGTCGGTCACCATAGTTAGTTCTAGGCCAGCCAAGGTTACATAGAGAGACTTTAGATGTGGGGAGGGAAAGGGGAGGAAACAGGAAAGCAAAGGTATGTCTCCCACATCACCTAGAAGGGTAGAATCAGGACACTGCCTGTAACACAGTATCAGGTACTGTGCCCTTAACAAGTATGGTGACCTCAAGCTTAGGAAGCAAACTTTGGGTCCAGGGTGTGGCTTAGTGATAGAGAGACTGCATAGCAGAGAGGAGGTTTTGGCTCATCCCTAGAACAGAAGAAAAAAATAGTAAGCTTTAGCCAGTTTCAAAGGCATTTTCACAATATAGTTCAAACAGCACAATTCTTTTCTAAATTTTACTTAATTTAGTATCTGCGGGATATTTATTACAATAATCTGGAAATAAGCCAAACTTCCTGGCCCTGTGGAAACCTTCCCTCCAGTGTCTGGATGCCATTGCCTTGTAACAGCACCTCCCTGATAGTCACTAACACAGAGCCAGACCCCTGCATCTCCTACGTGAGCATGGGACCAAATAGGAGACGCTACATGAGAATGGAACCAAGTGGGAGACTCTTCATGAGCATGGGACCAAGTGGGAGACTCTACATGAGAATGGGACCAAGTGGGAGACTCTTCATGAGCATGGGACCAAGTGGGAGACTCGCCATGAACATGGGAATGTACACAGGCACACAAAGCTAGTTGATTCTGACAACTGTCTTTGAAATGTGAACAAGTGCCACCCATTTGTGCCTCAGTCCCTTTACCTGTAAACTGAGGATCATAGTTGTGACTCTCATAAAGATAACAGGACATACTACAAGATGGTGATTTCGTATTGTAATTGCTACAAAGCTTGGAAACAAGGTATATTT